GGGCTAGACCTATACTTTGATAGACCAATCGGCACAAGATGGGTGATGTGGTCAGAATTTACTTCCTGGGACTGCACCCGATACCCACTCAAGATCATTATTAAACAAAGTCAGGCTCCACCAAGGAGCAAACCCACGACCTTCCGATCTGCAGCGAGCGTCTAGCCATGGTGGCTTCCACAGGAAAATATAAGTTGAGGATAATTCCTAAGCTCTCAAAATGATTGAAGAAAAGAAAAGCCAAAAGGCATACCTAAATAATGGCAAATAAAGCTGCCAGATTTCAAGAAAAACACACTGAAGTTAATAAGGAAGTTAGGAGGCCTGTCTTTGAAGTACTTTAGAAATGGAACCGGATATCAACTATGAGATGCCATCTTGACTTGATAGGAAACAGACCAGGAAATGTGATGACCTACAGAAGAAGCAGAGACAGCAGCAGCAAAAGAAAACCTCAGATACTTTTACAGTACCACAAGGAAATTAGTAGGTAAATATAGTCAACAAATTAGATCAAAAATAGGTTCAGAAAGTTTTTACCAATACTAAAGATCAGAGGGACAGATGGGCTAACTATTTTGAAGTACTTTAGAAATGGAACCAGATATCAACTATGAGATGCCATCTTGACAGGAAATCAGGAAAGCTATCAATCTAAAAAGGCCAGTTTAAACACATCTAAAGTATTACTACACAACTTATTCATTCAAGTTTAGGAGACCGAAGACATTCCAGCGAACTGATAACATCAGTATACTGGTCAGCTACCTTGATGACAGTGTACAAGATGTAGTCTATGTTATGTGGTTCTGTTTGTTATCCTTTGTTTTCTCTGTTAACTTCTGACGATGTAATGCTCACTGCACAAATGTTGGTTGTATCTACAGGCAACAGATGCTGATCAAGGCAACAATGGTCTGGTCAGGTATTACATGGTTGACCAGCCCGGCTTTCCTTTCCAAGTAGATGACATAGATGGTAAAGTGTTCACCACAGGCGAGTTCAGTGAAGCAGACAAGACAAATAGAGTGTTACCATATATTCTACCAGTTGTAGCCCAGGACAGTAGCACTGAAGGCTATAAATCCAACAATACACAGTGTTATGTAAGTTGGATGTCACAAGATATCATTATGTTCTTATCTAGAATATTTAATAATTTTGCATTTTCAATTAATTGTATGTATTCTTGTTTTATTAATTATTAAAGTCTAAAACAATGGCTTACCATTGCAGTTGTAGAAAAACTAGAACATATATAATTTCTTAACTCTTAGTGGCTAGAAAGTCGATGATGGCTGATATTTTATACTGGGATTGATAACTTTTTCAGAAATTTTTGTGTCATTTTGCCAGTTTATCATTTGAACTAACACCTATATTACAACTGATTGCATCAGTATAGTTTTGAAAACAATTGAACTATTTACCCATTTACCTTTAACAGTACATTCAAAACTCATTAGGAATAACCTTGCACTTAAAGGTTGAACATTTTTTTCAATACATTCTCGTTTAGGTTTTTTTTTTTTAACTGTATATTCTGTAATTTCAGATGTTTTTTTTTTTTCTTTCTTTTTCACCAGGTTTTTATGTATTTGCTGTTGTTTAAGGCAATACTGTATTAGTTTATCATCCCACTTTTATGTTATGTCTATGAAGCTTTGATAGTACAAGTCATTGTCACAGCTTAACACTAAAGCACACTAAACAAAATGCATATATCAGGCATCATAAGTGCAGTGCATGCTACTGAAGTTGTCTATAAATTTGATTCTGGCAAGTAAGTTGCCCTTTTTTTTTTTTAATGTGATGAAGAACAATCATTGATGTTTGCTATTATACCCCTTCTCCAGGTGAACCTGATTCGACAGAGGAACAGATTTGTACTGGTGGTAAACAATGTGTTAATGGACAATGTGGTGAAGAACAGAGAGGCCTACAGACTGTGAGTGTTTGTTTTCTCTCTTACCTGCTATATTTCAACATTGTGCCTGAAGGAACTGATAATGTAGACAGACAGAGAGACCAGATAGACCAGACCAGACCAGACAGACCAGATAGACCAGACCAGACAGTCAGGACAGACAGGACAGACAGGACAGACAGGACAGACCAGACAGACAGACAGACAGACCAGACAGACAGACAGACAGACAGACCAGACAGACAGACAGACAGACAGACAGACAGACAGACAGACAGACAGACAGACAGCATGATGGAGACACAAGATTATAAGGTTTTTCCCCCTAGATGTTTATATTGAAACAAATGTAACAAAGAAGTATGTTCATATATTGCATCTTCTGTGGCATCTTGCTTGTATTCATAACTTAGTTACGTAAAATGGTAATGTTATTAAGGGGAATTTAACCATTGTAATTCCTGTTTAATTAACAGAGCCCTGCAAGATTCTATAGGATACCCAGTTTTGATTGAACGTATCGAGGCCAAACGAGTACAGACTCAGTCCAGTAATGCTCTTCAGATAGCAGAGAAATCGTAAGTATTGTCATGTCCTTAATGTTATTTCTAAGTTGTATACTGCTGTCACTGTTGAATCAGCTCATTAGCTCAATCAGCACTCATGGCCCGCCCCTTCAACCTGTTGCAATTGTGCTTTTGTCATTTTTTTTTTAGGAGTATTCTTATTTTTATATTGAAAATTAATTGCTTTTTTTTTATATATAACTTTTTAAAAGGCGACAAATTATAGACAGTTTTACTATTAATTTATAAATGTTGCAAGTTGAATCATTACGCCTCTAACGATGTCAGTGATTACAAAGTGATTATTATTATACTGAACAATCTGTGTAGAAGTTGCAAGTGCTTGTCAGGTTTGTTAAAGTCATTGTTTCTTTTGGGGGATTGACTAGTTCAAACACCAACATACTGAGCTGCAGTTAGCATTAAGTCTGCTGTGCAATAGTCTTTAAATTATTGCTGAAACACTAACATGTTTTCTGTCACAATTTTCAGAACGGATGTCACATTTGTTGTTGTACAGCCAAAGGATCCCTATATGCTCATTAGTAATACTGACTCATTTGCAAAAAATAAGTAAGTCATTGTCAGCTATGTGTTTTAATCTGTATGCCTCTGTTAGTTCCCACTGCTGTATTCAGGGAGAGCATCACTGTTAGTTCTTAGTTCTTGCTGTTCCCACTGCTGTATTCAGGGAGTGCATCTCTGTTAGTTCTTACTGTTTCCACTGCTGTATTCAGGGAGAGCATCTCTGTTAGTTCTTACTGTTTCCACTGCTGTATTCAGGGAGTGCATCTCTGTTAGTACTTACTGCTGTTCTCACGGAAACAGCTGATGGTTCCTGCTACTGTACTCAGAGGAAAAACGCTGCTAGCTCCTACTGCTAAATTCAGGAAAACATATCTGCTAGATCACCTTGATAATTAAGTGATAAATATGCACACTTTGTTTTTTTTTTTTTTTTTTTAAATTATGCAATGTGCAGTCAGCTTGCAATATGTGGTGTTCACTCTTAACACTCGTGTTCTGACATTTGGCTAGTTGTCTAGGAGAGGATGTGGCTACTGGATGATATTACTCACATTCTAAGATGACATAGCCGTTACAAGTCGACACCGTCTCCAAGATACAAGACTGTTTATTGACATCTAAACACTTATATCAATTGTCCCATCCATATCCTAATCAACAGCTTTCACGCTGACTTCTCACACATTCACCAACCAGAGTTCTGTGTCTTCAGTTCCACATCGCTGCATAGATGGATCTGGTCATTGCATCGAGCTTCACACAACTGCGTTGGCTGGACTTTACTTCATTGGATGTTGTCGTCTGGCCTTCCTCTCGCAATAATCAGTTTCACGTTCTCATTCGTACAATCACTCTCACATCCTCTTGTTCTGATGGTCAACACATACTGTCTGGTCAGACTGGGGTCTTAAACCCAGTGTTCGTTCCACGTGGCAACACATCGTTGTTCTTGGGTTCCACGTGATAACACCTGGTCGTCCCCTACCTTGAAGACCTCGGTTAATCTGAGTATCTGGCTTCTCTCAGGGTTCTATTTAAGCTGGGGCTTTCCCCCCAACCTTCCCAATCAGGGTGAAAATATCCCACATTACAAATTAGTATTATGGATGCATCCCTCCTAGTTACACTGATAAAATCTGTTAATTCTTATCAGAACACTGACGGACACATCCCTCCTAGTTGCATTGATAAAATCTGTTAATTCTTACCAGAACACTGACGGACACATCCCTCCTAGTTACACTGATAAAATCTGTTAATTTTTACCAGAACACTGACGGACACATTCCTCATAAATCGTGCTGACTGACTCAGAGATAATCTGTTCTGTTTTGTAAAATTAAAGTTTTTCTCCAAGATCTTACATGTCCATATTTTTACATTTTTATAATGTTTTTGTTTTTTTTTTTTTTACAGAACGTTTTATGGTTTATTGTTGCATTATATATGTTTTCCAGAAAATTTGCTTGTGCTTGCTGTCAGATTTTCATTTGTTTTAATAGCTTTCTCAGTTATTGTTTAGAATTAAATTGAGGTCCGATTTATTTTTGTACATATTGTATATAGGAGTGATTAATATGGAAGGATTTCATGGTAATATTTCCCAGCGAGTTTTTAAACAAATATTGTATGTATTAGATTACCTAGAGAATTATTGGTATGATGTTAACAACAGCAGTCTGTGCAAGAAATATAAGGCTAACATTGTATACTAAATATGTTCCCTAGCGTGATCATAGCCAACAATATCTGCTTGTATTTCAGAAGCCACCACCTCATTGCCACATGCACATGTTTCACTGTGTTTTCTCTGTCACAGTGTCACCAGCCAAAATGCACTTACCGCCATTCGAGGCAACATTAATGATGATCAGAAAGTGCAAATCAACCCTGCAAATGTTGAGAAAGTACGTGAGCCATATGCCGATGGGAGTTCCAGTATCTTTGTCTATGCCAAGAGCAAATCATACATCTGGTGGATGGACGACCCATATGCAGCATTCATTGCCCTTGCAGCAATCATCATCTTGCTGTGCATTGTTGGAATCATTGTCATCATCTTTACATACTCCAGGTAATTGTGTTCTCAGTTTCTTTGTCATTTTGTTCTTCCAGTTTTTCAAATCTGGATTTCAGTTTCTATTTATGAGAACTCAAAATTATAGTTTTTACACTACAAGCTAGCTACAAATGCCTCCACAAGGAGAGATGGTAGTTGTAGTAGCATGTCATTGTGGAGTAGTAGCAGCAGAGATAAGGTTGTGACTTCAGTTGTTCAGGGTTTGAGCTGTGAATTAAATACACATTGAACACGTTGCTAAGTAAAGCTGCATGATCTTCTTGTAGAGTGCTAGCATGCCAGTCTGTTACTCTGGAAGTCCAGGGTTTTTATCCTCCAGCAGTATATCTTGTCTAAAGAACTGGTTTTAGTGAATCTAACTAGCTGGTCAAGGGTTTTTTCCTCCAGCAGTATATCTTGTCTAAAGAACTGGTTTTAGTTAATGTGAAATCTTGTCTAAAAAACTGGTTTTAGTAAATCTAACCAGCTGGTTACTTGGTGACTCCCCAGATACATGAAGTTCCTGTCCCAGTACAGGATTCACATGAACACCTTTGATAACCCTGACTTCCAGGAACCACCAAACTTCATGAGAGAATACGAGACACAGGTTAGTTGGTTTGTTCATTTTCTTCTTCTTCTTTCCACTCTATGATAGTTTTGTTATTTATAAACTATGCAGTGATGATTGGTTATATAACATCAGTGTGGCTCAAACTAAACTATGTAACGATGATTGATCATGTACACTCAGTGTGACTCAAACTAAACTATGTAATGATTTTTGATCATGTACATTCAGTGTCTTTTTAACCTAGCTATGTAACAATGAATGAATGTCTACATTCAGTGTGTCTCAAACTAAACTATGTAAGGATGATTGAATATGTAAGAATGAATGATCATGTACACTCTGTGTGTCTCAAACTAAACTATGTAAGGATGATTGAATATGTAAGAATGAATGATCATGTACACTCTGTGTGTCTCAAACTAAACTATGTAAGGATGATTGGATATGTAAGAATGAATGATCATGTACACTCAGTGTGACTCAGACTGAACTATGTAAGGATGATTGAATATGTAAATTTGATTGATCATGTACACTCAGTGTGACTCAGACTGAACTATGTAAGGATGATTGATTATGTACATTCATTGTGTCTCTAACTTAGCCATGTAACAATGAATGATGGTGTACATTCAGTATGTCCCAAACTAAACTATGTAAGGATGATTAAATATGTAAGAATTATTGATCATGTACACTCAGTGTGTCTCAGACTAAACTAAGGATAATTGCTCATGTACATTCAGTTTGTCTCTAATTATGCTATGTAACGATAAATGATTGTGTACATTCAACAGAGCTTGAACATGTACGTGCCACCAGATGAGGCCATTGCTGACATGGGAGAGGTAAAGATGACATTTGATGAAGGCGGCATGGAACATTTCACGCACACAGGTCATGACCCCAGAGTTGCTGCCGTTGTCAACCCTATATATCAAGGGTAAGTTCAGGAATTGTCAGCCATAACCGAAGCAAATAATTGTAGCTGTTCAATAATGGTTTATGTAGTCCTGTGTAGCAGGTTAATGGCATTGACAGATGAGGGGCAGATGGGTGAAAATATCTGCTGTGTGCATTGATGTGATGGAACATGGATAGAAGGAGACTTAGGATAGATTTAAAGTTGAGAGGATCACCTTAATTGCACTGAGCTGTATCAGTGATGATGCAGTCTGTCTCCACAGAACAACTGACCTCTGTCTCCACAGAACAACTGACCTCTGTCTCCACAGAACAACTGACCTCTGTCTCCACAGAACAACTGACCTCTGTCTGCACAGAACAACTGACCTCTGTCTCCACAGAACAACTGACCTCTGTCTGCACAGAACAACTGACCTCTATCTCCACAGAACAACTGACCTCTGTCTCCACAGAACAACTGACCTCTGTCTCCACAGAACAACTGACCTCTGTCTCCACAGAACAACTGACCTCTGTCTCCACAGAACAACTGACCTCTGTCTCCACAGAACAACTGACCTCTGTCTGCACAGAACAACTGACCTCTATCTCCACAGAACAACTGACCTCTGTCTGCACAGAACAACTGACCTCTGTCTCCACAGAACAACTGATCTCTGTCTCCACAGAACAACTGACCTCTGTCTCCACAGAACAACTGATCTCTGTCTGCACAGAACAACTGACCTCTGTCTCCACAGAACAACTGACCTCTGTCTCCACAGAACAACTGACCTCTGTCTCCACAGAACAACTGACCTCTGTCTCCACAGAACAACTGACCTCTGTCTCCACAGAACAACTGACCTCTGTCTCCACAGAACAACTGACCTCTGTCTCCACAGAACAACTGACCTCTGTCTCCACAGAACAACTGACCTCTGTCTCCACAGAACAACTGACCTCTGTCTCCACAGAACAACTGACCTCTGTCTCCACAGAACAACTGACCTCTGTCTCCCCAGAACAACTGACCTTAAGCAATCATACAATACGAAAAAATAACAACAGTGAAACTATAAAATTCATTAACAGAATTAAAATAAACCTACAGTTAAAAGCATAAAAGCACAAAGTGAGCAGTGCTATCACTTATGTGTGTGCATGGATGTGTGTCCTGGGAAGTAAAGGTGGCTGGCGTGATGTTGACCACATCACCCACCGAGTGCCGACTGATCTATAAAATAAAGATGTAGCCCTATATGCCGAGTGTGCACCTGAAGGTATAGAAAAGGGTTCTTTACTTATTAAAGCATGTGGGGTTGATTACAGTTAGACATAAAACATAGCATAGGCAATGTTAATACTTTAAGTACAGAAGTAACACAGGGAACCTTGGCCACTTGTACAAGAATTTGGTCACAAATGACAGACTGTGGCCAGGAAAAAAGAAGCCTTCATCAAAACAGTACAGAATGATAATACTTATTAAAAAAAAACAACTAAACAATGAAACTACTTGTCTGATATGAGGTAGTCTAGGTAAATTATTACTTTCATTGGTGGAGACAGGAGGTTACAGAGCATATCTGGGAGTCCAAGATAAGAGAATGAGAGAAGTTTGCAGTGGGACAGCCACAAAATAGCTGCAATTATGGATACAGACACACAAACAACAGCTAAGGAAGGTTGGGAGACTAAGAATAGGTAGATGATAAACTGGTGGGCTAAGGTGAAGTGTAGCAGCCATGATGCATAATACTTGTTCATCTAGTTATTTGTAGATTCATGTGTAGTGACATTTGATATATTCATAATTTTATAAATGCAGCAAATATGACTTCAGGTATTATCTCACCAGAATGTCAAATTATCCCATCTTTTACCTGGCAATGGAATCTTATTTTCTTTCTATATATATAAAAATGTGACATTTGACACTGTCTCATCAGACAACCAGATGCCCAGACTGTGCAAAACTAGAAGCAAATACTGCATTAGCTAGCAGTAAACATGGCTGACTTGTGTGGGTTTTTTCTTCTTCACAGAGAGAAGGAGCAACACCTGGAGCATGCCTCTCCTGGCAGAGCCGATGGAGCAACAAACTTATAACCAGCAACTCACTGGGCTCGACCCTCATGATATGTAACTGACTTCTCTAGAATCCCATTGTCTGTACCACTTTCTCCTTCAATTGTAAAAGTACTTAACTAGTGTTATCTATTTACAACATGTTAGCAATATCATCTGTGAACATTTGAGTCTTTCAGAAAATACTTACTTCTGATCATCATCTGGTGTATTTGATTTATCATAACTACATCACTTCTAATAGCTAGCGATTTTTTTTTTTTTTTCAATTTAGTTCTTTTTATTTATTTAGCATAGAAATACAAATAGTTTTGTTTATTTTTCTAAAACTTGCTCAGTACCATGTCAACTGCTGTTCCCTATGTTTTTAAAGTCCACTAACACAAAGTGCAAACACAAGTTACATGTATTGAAGAAATGTTATAGAAATGTAAAAACTGAAGCAGATTCTCGATTACACAATCGCAAAATTAAAGAACACATCACAAAGGTGCGTGCATTGGTTGATGATGCCAGATGTAGTCTTGGGAGAGATAACATAAACGATAAGAGTGATATACTCTAGTGGCAATGTAACCACTTGCCATCTGAGTGCACTTATTTATTTTAGAACTATTATCAGGAAACTCCTTAGTGCTTGTTGAGTTTGTCAGCTAGTTACAACAAGAATGTTGTATTTGGTTTGGGGAAATATTGTCTGAAGCAAATGTGAACAATATTGCTGTAAAACCTGTTTGATGTAGACCAGCAGCAGTTGACTGTTAGCATTCCGTTCACGTACACCGATAGATGAGATTTACGGAGAGCTCAGGTTTGTTGTAAAGTGTTAAGTGCTCAAACACAACTTCAGATCATATGCCTATTTTCCATACTGCAGCAGTGATTATTTTGGTAACAGTTCTAGATTGTGTCTCAGTGATACACAAGTATTTTTAATTTGTGGATTCTCACTAAATTGTTAACACTGTGTTATACATAGAATGCTCAGCATCTGGTCTGCCATCGGCTCCCAGATGATGGCAACAGTACTTCATAAATATACAGCATTTTGAGACAGCATTCTTCTTATTGTTTGTGTCATCTTTGAATGTTGTCTGTTGATAGATACATTTCTAAATCAAGTAACTATAGTGCTCTAACAATTTTTGAATAGGTATTTTGTTGAGTGCATGATTGACAAAAATATTTGCCATTGCATATTGAAACTATTTTTGTTACAGAAAACATTATGGAAAACATCAGACGATATTTGTTGCCAAAAATAGTGTGGAAAATATTCATATTTTCTTCTGAGTACTTTATTTCTGTCACATAATCATCTTTATTTAGATTGTATTCTCTTGTTCTCATGCTGAAATATACAAGTAATTTAATTCTACTTTGTTTTGATATAGAATTATACAATAAATTGATTTTCTTACCGCATAAAAAGCTTATTTTTGTGTTTTTGTATGTATTTTGTACAAGATGTGTGTTGCAGTGAGTTGTCATGTTCAGACCAAAAGTTCTCAAACTTAGACAGGCTGCTGCCTTTAAGATCAAACTGTGAGAGAGAGAGAGAGAGAGAGAAGAGAGATTGAGTAGTTGAGAATGTATACTTGTACACACACACACACACCACACAGCTGTACACTTCTACCTCTACTCTCACATTTTTTCCTGCTCCTGCCAAAAAGTTTGGTAGTTAACGGCCATAGAAAGATACCTGGACAAATGTAGCTACTTTTGCTTCTGTTGTTTATGAGGGGTTCCAGAATAGACAGGAGACGGTTGTGGCAGTACTTGATCTTGAAGATGCCTACGATAGAGTCAGATATGATATTTTGATATCTGCGCTCATGGAAAAGGGGAGTATGTGAACTAGATAGCAGTTGTCCTGCATTCACATATGGCTGCCTTTCGGTTGGGTATATAGACCTCAGAACCATGTAATATCGCGTCATATATTACATATACTTGCACTGCCTACTACTGCAAATAGGCTCAAAGTTCTGCAAGCAAAATCATATCTCAGAGTAGCTACAGACAAGAAGCATCTCCTGCATGTAAGCTGTGGGTACACTTAAAGGTCACAGATTGAAAAGAGGAAGGTCTTGGATGGCGCAAGCGAAAACACAATTAGACATGTGTTAAGGCTTGATAAATTTGAGCGAGGAGAGGAGTGAGTTAAAGTGTTTGAGCAAGTTTCACACTTATGTAGGGTTCTAATCACTTTAAGTCGTTGAGTGCAGGGCCTGGCCAGTTGGTGCTGCAGAATTAGAAGTTCAACAAATGATTTATAACAATTTTCGCCCAAGTGATGTGATTATCTATACAGGTGTCTCTGTGTTGAGGGGCCGACGAGGTGCATAGGGGTATAAAAGCGAATGGACGTCACCAAGTGCAACAAAGTCTCGCATATGATATCACAACGTTTAGTTTGATAACGGTGGTGGAGGCACTCACTGCTGCCTTCCGCTGGCTTGAAAATCAGCTGTACACACATGCCGTGATTGTAACTGACTCACAGAGCATCTTGAGAAAAATGTAGTCAGGTATACTATGTGCAAAGTGGCAGGTGTCACTTCAGAGGTCCTGGGTAGTTAGCATCCTTTTGATATATTCTCTAAGTCATGCCGGTGTGTCAGGAAATGAGCAGGCAGATAGACTTGCCGGTTTTGCACCACTTAGTGGTGAACTGATGTATGCCAAGCTAGATATTGTAAGAGCCCTTCGGGAGAGAGTGAACATTGTGGAGGCACAGATAGATCATTAAAGTCTGAGGAAAATAGCACTGAACCCCGGTATTCTAGGGGTGTCATGTGTTGGTTGCTTTCAGCGCTTTTATCGTTTATTTGGTCATCATTTGTTCACCGCCATGACTGGCCCTGTTTGGAAGCGGTGTTCTTACCTCGTGACCTCGCTTTCGCCATGAATTTCCTTGACCTGTCAGCATTGCTGCATCTGACCCTAACCCCTGATCCATCAGTGTACATTCTGTCGATCTTTTCCAAACCAGTTCCCCGCTGCCACCCTAAGATAGCCGTTTTCAGAGCCCGCCGCAAGAGAAACATAGGTTGAAGCCGAACTTTACGGATCGCTCAGTGAATTACTCAAGGCAATAAAGTTCATACTAGAGACAATATTGCAGATATAGATCATCTATTTCCAGCCAACGAAAGGAGAAGAAGAAACTAACCCTAACCCTACCCCCCCCCCCCCCCCCCCCCCACCCCAAAATAGAACTGTCCGGAAACTCCCTAAGAATTCCCTACGAAATCTCGGAGTACCCGAGATAGGGTGAAATAAAATAATAGTACCCAGCTTTGTGTTCTTGTCCTGGTTGTTCCTTGTGGCCACACATCCACGTTTTTTTTTTTTTTTAATCTCATCTTTCAGTTATCAGTTCGCCATAGAGTTGGCTCCTTGTCATTCCATGAATTGCCAAATTGATTTCTCTACAAAATATGCCTCAAAAATCAGTTTATAGTTTACGTTTGCTTCTTGAAGAACTCCTCCAGTCGTCTTTCTGTCTTTTCGTGGATTTCTTTGCATTTTCTTCAGAAACCACATTTACGGTGCCGTAAGTCAGTTTTTATTTTGTTTCCGGTTTGACTGTTTATTAATATTGGCCGCTTATTTATCATGAAATGTCAGAAGCTGAAGAAGCAGATGCGAGAATGAGGAGTAACAAAGACAGTGAGGAAAGAAGTAACAGCAACAAAGGGATAAACTTGACAAATAATGATTCAGTTGCTTGTCTCTTCTCTTCTCTCTCTCTCTCTCTCTCTCTCTCCCTATCTCTCTCGCTCTCTCTCTCTCTCTCTCTCTCTCTCTCTCTCTCTCTCTCTCTGTGTATACGCATGTATCATACCACCCATGTTTTTGTTCGGTTTTTTCCCCCTGTCATTCATAATATGCCTATTATTATATGAACACAACATGCTTTATTGATTAAATACAACTGCTGTGTGAAAGATGGGAGTTTGGAAGAGCCTAATGTAAGACGGGTCTGCGTTATTAATTTGTGACCCTATGAAAATATAGTTCGTTCGCTCGTTCTCTCTCTCTCTCTCTCTCTCTCTCTCTCTCTCTCTCTCTCTCTCTCTCTCTCTCTCTCTCTCTCTCTCTCTCTCTCTCATTCTTTGTCATTGATTCTCAAATTGTCTGACTTGACAGATGAATGCGTTTACGTCAAATCTGTTTCCCAATTGTTTCTGTACAATGGCAGTATCTCAGTGAGCCTCTCTTGCCTGCCTGGACCCAGATACCATCTGTGACGTGGCGGGCAGGTATGGTGTGTTCTGGTGCACGTGCAGGTGAACTAATGTGAGCGGCTACCCTTGGTTATATACCTGGCTCATTGCAATCCCATAAATCAAGTACATGCCGTTGGTTTAAAAAAAGCAAGCAAAACCTGCAAACACAGATATCTAACAGACAACAAAGATAACGACAACCACAGGTAACACGAATCATTTATAGTATTTGTAATGTCTGGGTGTGTAATATTTCGCTTTAGCAAACATAGAACAATTTTTCAAGCTTCCATACCCGAAATAAAAGACTATTTTCCATCCCACTTCGAATTTTGGGCGTTTAGAGCTAGTTCTTTATTTTATATACCAGTCGGTAGTAGGTGGGTGATGTGATTAATATCACACCGGCCGCCTTGACTTCCAGTGACTTTACCTGGTACCCGTTTCATGCTGAATCGACCTGGGAGGCAATGTCTTTTTTTTTAAATCCGGCTCGATGCGGATTTGAACCAATAACATTTGGGCCTACTATGTCTATGGTTTTAATTAGGGGCCATTTAAACTCTAATGGCGCGACAGGCAAATGGTGCTAGATATATCAGTACTGGATGGCGGTTGATGTGTTCAACATCATGCCGGCTGTCTTTACTTCCCATGATATAACCTGTTATCTTGTTTAGGCTGGGTCGACATGGGAGATCAAGGTCAGTTTTCAAACAACAACAAAGGCCTTCGGTGCAGCAGCTGAAGATCTAGCCAGTGCGCCACTCTTTTTTGGTTTTA